AATGAGACTTATTTAGGGAGCAAAGACTCCGGTTGTCTTTCGTCTTTGAAGAAGTCAAACGCAGCCTAGAAAGACGCTACGAAGCGGTCAAGGGCAATTATCATCGCACCAGTGGTTGCAAATATGGAATTCCATGTGCTAGATATCCCTGCTTCTTTCTTTTAATCTGTTACTGGGTAGGCCATGTAACCATGCCTTTGGGTGATGTTCCTTCTTCGTTACAACAAAAGATCAAGATGCCAAGAGATGGGGGAATTATTACTATCCATGGAGATGCTGATAGGGAGACAGCTTTCTTCGAGGTGAAGGATGACAATGCAGGATAGAATCTAACCGGGTTCCAGTTTGTTAATGCTATAGAAAGGGTGCCTCCGGATTTTTATCAAATGCAAATCATTACGTGGCTCATTAAGAGATAGGACATTTCCCTGGACTTGGCTTGGGGAAGAAAGAGCAATGGGTCACCAAACTTTGTGAATCACAAGGCAACTTGTAGGCTAGGTTATGTTCCAACTGAAAAAGACAAGGCAGCCGAGGTAGATGGGCGAAAGGCTTTTATACCAAGGCTAGGGCTAAGAAAAGCTTGGGCCGAGTTAAGTAAAGACTGGCTACCTAGTGATTTACAACCACCACTCTATCTAGCCAAAGGAATTTCCTATCAGCTATCTTCTTTTCCATCTTGTACTAAGGCATACTGAACACCTACCTAATCCATAGCTTTATAAGAAAAGACTTTTCGCACACAGAGAGAGAAGCAGTCATTTCATCCACCACTTTTCCACTGATATAGTTCCTTTTGCTGCAAACGAACCTCAATTACATCGACCCTTTTAGTCACTTTTGAAATAAACTATTTCCTTACAGACTTTCTATTTCTTTCTTTATCTATGTAATTACTTAAAAGAGAGTACCAATCTCCATCCTAGTGCATATTTCCTTCCACAGTCAAAGATTGGTCCTCCGTTTTCAGCATCAGGCTCGAAGACCTCTGGGATATGCAAACAAGAGAATCGGCCATACGGATGCCCTTAGTGGCCTTGAGATTACCATAACGAAGATCTCAACTTTGCCATCGAAAGAGAGTTTTCGTAGGTTAAGTCATTCTAAAAATAAAGCGGGAATGTAGACTAAGTGATCCGTAGTTCCATAACCACATAGTGGAAAGAAGATTCTTAGTGCTTTCCCTACACCGGACCTTCGTCCAACTCTAGCTAGCTATGGGGATTTGAATGAAAAGTGGTGCACCCATTCGAAGCCAAGAGAAGCTGAAATCTTTCATTGACAGTGTAGTGGTGATAGTCTCACCTTGGACTATACTTTCAACTAAACCAAAATAGGCCTATCTGCGCCGTCAAGTTCAAGAAAACGAAGCTATGTCAGCAGGTGGTCTTGTAAGAGAAAGGCTCTTACTTGTTCTATGGAAAGGAAATCCGCAATGGTTGAACCTTCTGTACGCCTGTGATGTCCTGGTATTGAGAAAGAAATCGGCCAGGAATGGATCGTATACTTCAAATTCCAAGTCAACAACCCTAACTCGAGCACTTATATAAAATATAATCTTTGTGAAATTAGTATAAAGGATACTTACCAGAGTCAAGTCCTTGACCAGCAAAGAGCCTTTCTTATGCTGGTTATGGTAGGGCTGATAAAATCAGTCTTGTTTGACCTATCGAGGTTAGAAAGACGCATTTAATGCTAGAAATAGGCCCTCTCATCGGGTTTCGGCTTGGGGGTAGGATTTCACTCTTCTCCCGGGATTGATTAAAGGGATTATCGGTATCCTACATAAATAAGACTGTCGCTTTGACTGATAATAGCACAAAGCATACCCGGTATCGCATTCCATCTCATTTATTTGCTGGCGGGGGTAGGATGGAAAACCACAGATGAGCCATCTACAGCGGGATTTGGGAAAAGATCGGATTCAGGTAGTATTTCTGTCTCGACCAATTAGAATTAAGAGATAGGTTCTTGAGGGTTGACAAGAGCTAGTGAAAAGAAAAAGGTTTTTATCCCATTAGGAAAGGAACGTCAAGCCTTGGCAAAACCTCAATTCTGCACAGTCTTGCATGGCTGCACTCCTTGAATCTTTCTTACTCCATTTACAGAGCATGCCACTATGCCTAAGACATTGAAATGGCTAGCAAGACAAGACAGGAGCTTCTATAAGTCCTCGGAAAGGAGATACTATGAATACTGGTACACTGGGCAAACGTACATCTCATCTTCAGCTTTGGCATCATTAGATAAGAAAGACAAGCCTTTTATGGTCGCTCAATTGGACCTAGCCTCGCAACAGGAACTCTCTTGATAACCATATGTTACGGGGCATGGGCCTTCTTTGTCTCTCAAGAAAAAGGCTAGTCCTGAAACTTCTCTTTTTTCTCAAAATATGACTATCACTCATTCTATAATCTGTGACTTTGAGCTTCCTCAACTGGTCCTACTCCTATGCTTGAAGTATGATAGAAAGAAAAGATTCATTCGATCTGATTCTTGCCGGAAAGAGTTTCACTCGATAAAGAAATTGCTTAAGAGAAGTGATGTCTTCAGTCTTGAAGCATTCCTTGACCTTTCAGGTTAGGCGGGAATTTAACCAAACCAGAAAGAATACGTTGCTGACGCCTGAGCTTCCAAGCATTCGATCGAGTCCAAACCAAGTTTCACTAGGAAGAGAAAAAAGCTCTTTATGATATATAGGCTATCGAGGAATTCCAGATTCTAAGCAAGACTAAAATACCAATACTTTGATTGATGGAATTGAGAAGAAGTCTATAATGTTTCTAGGGTTACCTCCTCTTTATCCAATTATCAGATCATAGACAAGAGCTCACTATTTTCGCAATAAACTATACTAGGACAGGTATTCTAAGTAAGATATAAGACTAGTACTATTCCATCAAGAGAGCTTCCTTTCTTCCTTCTTTGCTGGTCTCTGCTAGTTGATCCACTAGAGCTAGAGCTACTTGACCCACACAGCCTGTTTTCTGAAACCCCTATCCCTCGCTATTAAGGAGTCCTTGCCCTATGCTCTATAGAGAAAGAAGGTCTCGAAGACGAGATTACACGGGGGAGTTAAAGAGTTCCTCTTTCGAGTAACCAAGGGAGAGATCCGATAGAATGCTTGATAGGACAGCCTACCTTTCCTAGGATTAATAGGTGAGAAGTGAAGGCATCCAGTCTAGTATCAAGTCAGCTCCTTTCACCTTGGACAAGTCATCAACTACAAGAAGTAAGCTGGGTATGATTCTAACCCGGTAGTCAAAGGAAGTCCAGTCTTCAAAGCAAAGGCTAGGCTTCCAACCAAAGTCTTCAATCTATAAAGGAAAAGCAGGAATTTCTTTCTATAGAATACCATTAATCGGGCTAAAAGAGGGAAGAAAAGAGCCACGAAAGAGAGCAAGGAGACTGAAAGCAGAGCATTCCGCCTGACTTCTTTACGTCTGTTGAAGAAGCTTTTAGAGGATCAATTCGTCCTTATTCAACCGAACCAAAGAATCTGTCTTCAGTCATTCTTTCTTTACCTTAAAGTGAAAGCGCAGATCGACGAATATAAGGTTAATTATATCGAGCCTGCCTTATCAAGGACTTCCCAACTTACCTAGCAGAAGAAAAGGGCAATATAAATATATCTAGGTCACTTCCATCAAGAACTAAAGCTATTTCAAATAGGTCACTTCGGGTTTATCGCTAAGGTAGAGTCTTTCTGATTCCCTTCGCTTAGTTGCTTTCCGGACCACCAAAAGAAGATAGATCGTACTATATCACTCAGCAATGAAGATTAACTTCAAGTGGCCGGGAATGAGTACCTATCCCTTACGGGAATCGAACTCGTGTCTTCGACATGAAAAGACGATGTCCTAACCACTGGACGAAAGGGACAAAAAATGCTTCATATACCTCAGCTCCTCTTCCTTCACTTCGCTTCGTTTTGTTCTTATGGTTCGTTTTGTTTCTATACGCAATTCAAGATTTCATTTGTGTTCATGTTGGCGATTTCTGATGAGAATTCGGGGGTCGTCCCCTATTCCTACGAGTTTCCTCACTGACCCAGTGACACACCAACCATGCCCCTTCTCTTTCTCCGATCATAACACTGATCTCTTTATTTTTCTTTCAGCCGCCCGTACCCCGCTCTTTCGGAAAAAGAGGGTCGAAGCGCCCGTTTGAAGTGGCGAAGGCCTATGCTACAGTAAGAAAAAAAAGTAGGGTTCGGTTACGAAGTCAGATCAGCTGGTTAAGGAAAGCTCAGCTTATGAAATCGCTTAGCCCTTAAGTTAATTAATGTTGTAGTAGTGAGGCGTCGGTACAGAGTTGCGTCAGCTGTGGATATCGACTAGGCTAAGTGACGGACTTAATCTCTTCTAGTCTCTTCACTTATACCTTACACTTCAGCTGAGTCTAACGAGGTCTTGACAGAGCCTTACACTGTGGACCGAGACTATGCAAAGGTAGAACACCATAGAAACTTCGCTTACTCAATTACATCGACCCTTGATTTTGCTACGCTAAAAAAAACCCGGAATAGCCTCGGTTTCGTGTTTTGCTTCCAAAAAGTCAGTCGTCTTTGCCCAACCAAGTGTGAACTGCAGACGACTCTCTAGTGGTTCCATTCCTTCTTACTGTGCTTCAGGGTCAACCCGAATGGGAAGAAGGAGGTCAGCCAAACTGCAGTCCACTTTGCACCTTTTCTGAGCAGACCAATCAGTCCTTTTAAAATTTAAAAGGGAAGGGCCCTTATCACCGAAGGAGGCGGGAAGGCTTCTACAAGCTTATCCTTGACTTTTTTTTAGAGCGTATCACTGAAATAATCAAAAAAGGTTTATGGATGAAGTAATCCGAATGACAAATGGTTACGGTTGCGGAAAGCAGAGAAAGTCAGGAACCGTCAGTTACCTTTTGAATCAAATCAAGGTAGCGACGAGCCGAGTCTGACGACTAAAGGGGGAGAAGCTTTGCTTCGTAGATAGCTCTGCATCCTCGTCGCTTTTTTCTGGCGACTAGCTTCTCAAGTTCAAGGCTTGGTAAGCAACTTCAGCATCGGTCAAATCCCTATAAATCACTAACAGGCCTGAATGGTGGGGAAGGTAGCTTGCTCTTATCTTAAATGGAAAGGGGGGAATCGCCCTTTCACAGCCGCTCCTATACAACTTTCGACCAACATGATCACAACAGAGAATTGCGTAGTATAGGAGGATGAAACGAACCATAAGAACGAAGCGAAGCGAAGTGAAGGAAGAGGAGCTGATCGGAACGATTGAAGAAAGAAAGAGAATGGTGGCTCCTTTCGCCCAGGGGACATCATTAGAGAACAATGTCGGAGACAGGGTGAGAACCTGTAGATGGTTACGCCCTTGTTGTCTTGGTTCTTCCATATTTCGATATGAAGATAGATCCATATAGAGATCTATATCTTTCTATCGATAGATCTATTGAGAAATCAATATTGATCTATTTTCAAGATCTATGAACAAGTGAGATCCCTATATATATCCATTTGAAATGAAAAAAGAGATAAAAGAGATGAATTGATAGGGCGAAGCCAGCTGAAGGAAGGGCGCGTTAGCGAACTTATTGAAAACTAAAGCAAGAAGGGCCTTCTATTAGATTAGTTTCTTAGTAAAGGCACGTTAGCGCCCCCTGCCCCTATTTTGAATCTTAAGTAAAGTGAAGTCAAAAACCATAGGAAGAGCCCAACCTCTTTGTTTCTTTGTTTGAAGCTTTGCCAGGTCAATGTAATCGAGCCTTGAAGCTTTCCCCCAAAACACAACAATAGACCTGCTACTATAAGGAAAAAGCTTTTTTTTTTTATAGCAGTCATAGGGGAGTTCAGAAAGGATTTGATCGTAGATGGAGACTGAAACCTGTGTGGGGGTAGGTACGGTAAATGGTAGAGAGCGCTCGCTTGTCGATTTCCAGGACAAGATTGGGTAGGTGTTCCATCAACCGATCTTCGAGGATAAGGATTTTGACTTCTGATCTTGAATTCCGAAAGAGTGACTGAAAGGAGAGGAATCATTACCATCGGTGAAATGAATCTTTTCTCCCAGATCTTCTTTGTAGTCCAACTTGGTATATGTATGAATTCATGTTGCCAGTCTCAGTTGGAGGAATAGTGTGACTTGGCAGCTTTCTTCGAGAACTTGCTTATTCTCTTTTTTTAGACGAAGCCCTAGATCTTCTCCTCTGTTTTGTAAGTGAACGAAAGGCAGGATTTCTTGTGTTGTGACGGAATACCAAAAAAGGTTATTGAACGATCTACTTTTCTATCCTAATGGCTAGACAGCCATACCCGGATAAGCAGTTTCAGCTTTTACACGTACTTTTGCCAATGCATCTGCTCTCTGGCCTCAAAACCACACCGGAAGGAAGGCCAGCCACCTTTTCCATAGCCTTGGAGGCTAGGAAAGGACTTCGATTTTGGCCAGCTAGCGGGAACACGAGCAAAGGCTACTTCCAAGTCAGCGGGTATAATATTATGCAAAAGATAAGCCTTCTGGCCCAAGTGAGTTGTCTGTTCCCATTTCCCTCACTAAAACTGGGTTACCGAGGATCATCCCTCCAACAAACCGTAAGGTAATAAGACAACGTTCGGAGAGGTCAGATATGTTGGTGAGGTAAATAACATTCAAAACTACTAGTACAGGAAGGAGTATCCTGCCGCCCTGAACAACTTTAGAAAGAAAGGATATATCCCATACCAATAAAAGATCGAAGTAGTTCTATACCCTTTTCTTCCTATGCTTTATTCATTCCAGTAAGTAAAGTAATCTGGTTGGAGAAGCAAAAAGGAGCTTTTCTCAACCCATCCACTCAACCGGACTAATGAATGGCAATTGGAAGAACTCACTTTCCTATCGTTCAGTAGGAGTCTTTGGATAGATCCTTGAACCTCTCCCTTCCGAGGGCTCTTTGACTTCACTTCGCTTCGTTTGTTTAGTCGAGACTCACTTCGTTCTCCTCCTATGCACTTCTTCTTTCGGGGACTCTATAAGAAAGGGGGCTGTACTTGGCTCAATATGAGAAATCCCTATAAAACGGTAAATGCTTAAGCTGAATCGAGCTCAATTACACCTTTCCTCTCCTTGCAGACGAGCCAACTTTGTCACCTTTCTGAACAGAAGATAGTTTAGTCCATGGTGCATTGGATGGTCGGTGCCTCTTCAGTCCTTTCGGTCATAATCCTTCCTTGCCTCCTCTCCTTTTAGTCTTTCTTTCCTCATACAAATCAAGACCTTTCGCCTATTTTGTCATACTACCCAATGATAAACGGCTCGTCTCGAAAGAGATTCCTATTCAAAGGAATTAAATAGCTCGACTTCAAGGAGTTTTCGTGTACTTTAGAAGCAAAGAGAAGTTCAGTCATAAAGGAAAAAGCACTTTCTGCGCTACAAAACAAACTTATCTAAGCACTCAAAGCAAGGCTGAAATAAGGAATGGGAGTCGCGGGGTTATCTTTTCTTCTCATACAAGATTTCGAGTCTCTGATGGAGTAGCTGATATGAACAGGTTAAACCTATGGTCATTCAAAGAAGAGTACGAGTTAGCATCTTTCGCAAGGGAATCCACTGAGCTAGCTAGCTTTTATCCCTCCTCCTCAATTACATCGATCCAGGAAGACATTGCTGGGCTGAGTTTACCAACCAGTCAGCACAACGGTTTTCCTCGCGCCAAACATGGCGAACTGTGATCTGATCAAATAGAGATAAGAGACCTTTTCAGTCCCTAATAAGGTTTGTATACTCAGAACCACTGGCCAAAGTCGACCAAAGAAGGAAAACCACCATGCTTGAATCTATGTCCACCGTAACATGCCGTAGACCAAGCCGTCTTGCTACCTTCAACCCAAACTTTGACTTCACTTCGCTTCGAAAAGTTTGTTGGGTTGAAGAAAGAG